GCTTTAAAACTGCGCATTGAAACATGCTGTGATTTGTTTACATATCTGTGGTAGCTGAAAGATAATTTTAAGAAATACAAGATAAGTTTTCCAAGAAATCCTTACCTGGAAATTAAGAAAATCTAGTTTTTGGCCTCAAAAATTGGGGGTCGACTTATACACGGGATCGACTAATACACGGGTAAATACGGTAAATGTTCTAAACGACACAATGCTGACCCATGTGAATTCAAGGCATTGATTTCTATGGAATTTAGTCAGCAATGCAGTATGGTGACAGGATAAAAACTAGGATTATGAAACAGCCTTAATTATCTCATGGCTATGTAAAAGGAAACCTGATTAATGGTGCAATGAGGTATCTTTTCCGGTACTGTACAAAGGTGTTTGATTTATACATGGGAAGTAACCTGTACTAGTTACCTGTGATACATCTATTTTAAGGTTTTCCACAGCACATCCATCTCTCTGAATACTGTTAGACACCAGAGCTAAAGCCTGTTAAAAGGGTGGGAGTATTTAAGACATAATGAATTACAGCAACAACAAGGCCCTTCTCAATACAGTATCGCTAGACAGCACTGAACTGACCAGATATAGGGCCTTCAAAAGCATGTAGAAGTGGCTTTCAGGTTATTTCAATTCATTGATTGTCCTGAACAAGTTGCAGCTGACTAATAAAGCATTATACCAGAATCAAGCTTAGCTCAATGAAGTATCTACAAGATAGAGATTAACACCAGTTGTGTTCCAAAAGAAGAGTAATATCATGATTATTTTTTTTGTTTGTGAAACTGTTTTTGGATTATTAGCAAAGAAGCCTAGACCCTTGTTATAAATGGATGCCAGCTTAATATTTTTGGATGCATTTAAAGTAGCCTCACTAACCTCATTTGAGAGTAAAAATTCTTTTGAATTAACAAAGTAAAAATGAGGTTAGTAATGCTAATTTCAGTTCTTTAAAAAGAAATAATAATTGGCAGCCATTTATGAAAAGGGTCTATAATTACAGGAAGTACATGTAGTAAGCAAGTCTACCTGTCTAAGTGCAATGGTTTCTTCTCGAACTTTCTCCAGTGTGCTACCAGACACTCTAGAAATTTCATCTCTGTGTTCCTTCTGTTCCTTAACATATTTTCTTCAAAAACAACAACAGTAATTTTGAGTAAGAACAACCATTTCATCTCCCATACTCTTAAGCTATGAACAACTATGGTGTGTGACAAAACTGTTGTTGGAAATTTGAATAGGAAGTGGTCTGTTTCTTAACATTTAAGCAAAAAAATGTTTTGTGGCTAACATGTTGCAAGCTTCTTGGACTTCTTATCAGTGAACAATCATGTTAATTAACTTGCTTGTTTTTTTGTTATGAAGGAGTTCACAATGTGAAACAAGTAACACTCATGTGACAATTTTTGGAGATTGTTTGGGAGGAATAAAATCACTCTCAATTCACATTTCTGATGACAGTTTCACCACTCCTATCAGAGATTTTGATAGTAGTCTGCAATAATTCTTTAAAAAAGTAAATGTCATTATTAAGAAAATTATTACCTGGTAGAAATTAATGCAGTTAAATGTAATTTAACTCCCTCCCCATCCCAGAGGGGTGGATCACTGTATGTGGGGGCTTATTGCTGGGTTGCTGGGATTGCCATTCATGGAGTGTTTTACTGTCTAGGGGCTGGCTGATTTCAGTGGAGGCCCCTGGACATCCTGGGCATCCATCCTCTATACAGTGTGATGCAGTTGTTATTAGACACTTAAATGTCCAGTATTGCCACAATAGGCCTTCTCCAACTTACTTGATGTGTTCTGCTATTTCATTCAAAGGATTAGGTAGTGCTGTGTCTTTGACATCACTGAACAGGAAAAATTAATATACAGCTATCAATAATCATCAGTTTTAACATGAAAAACATCCTAAGTTACCAAATAGTTTAGTCTCAACAAATTCTTGACAATGAAACCTATTATTTTGTCTTTTATTGACATACAAACTCTGAAGTTTCATGCTGCCATCAATCATAAGAAGTTGTAATGAAACCTTTGTTCCCTTGTTTTCCTGGGATTCATAACCTTTCCCTTCTATTAACTATGCTGTAAGTTTTTCAGTTCCTACCCAGAAACTGCAGGGATGGGGTATGCTAATCAAATTTCCATGATCACTCAGAGTCTAGAGATGACAACATGACCTGAAACATGCTTTCCTTAAAATTGCCAGCTTATGTCCAGTAAAAAATATTCACTTAATTCCAAATGACCAAAGTTAAAACCTTACCCCTGCTTGCTGGCCACACCACCTACGGCACCTGTTGCACCTCCACTCGTACTAGTACCAGTCCCACCTAAGCCACTTAGCGTAGCTGATGTCGTAGTGCTTGCAGCGGCTGTGGTCTTAATGGCATTGAAACCACTAAATGCCCCTAAACCTGAGCCTATCAGCGAGCTTGTACCCAATGCTAACCCAGTAGGAGCTGCTGGAGTTGACCCAAGCAATGTCGTTGTAGTTGTAGCAGCAGTGCTTGGTTTAAACAGTCCACTGGCTAAGTTTAGACCCGTTGATGTACTAGCCCCGGGTGTTACCCCCAGAGCAAAACCGGAGCTCTGTCCCAGTTGATTAGTTTGTCCAAATGTCCCTAGGGTGGGAACAGTCGATGTAGTTTTCGCTGTGTTAAACCCGGAAAAGGTCGATGCTGTAGTTGAGCCTAGACCTCCAAATTTAAAACCAGTGGTCGCTCCCGCGGTTGTGGCCGTTTGTTGACCAAATGGTGTGCTCAAAGTCGATGTGGCAGTGGAGGCTCCGAACGGTTTAATCGCGGAAAATCCACTTGCTCCTAGGGTGTTACTTCCCAAAGTATTTGTACCGAGAGTTGGTGTACCAAATCCAGTTGAAGTTGCACCACTACCGAAAGAGAAACCCGCAGAACTACTGCCAAAAAGCCCTCCAGTCGTGGCGGCCGCCATTTTCCTTTGCATATAAAACAACATCCAATCAAAACACTTGTTATAAAATTGATTTCGTTGTATCACTTTGCATCACGGGATATGCATGGGGCTGCACTTTTCCAATATGGCGGCCGAAGCAGGTTGAAGGTGAAAACGCAGGTTACATCAAGGGGACATTTTCATTGCAGGAAGCATCTGAGCAGCTATTGCAAAGAGTCATCGTTGCCTTTGGTGATGGACGTGATAAAGACGCCCAAGGTAATTTGTATTTGACATCATGACACATATACCGTTTCTGTTGCGGCATTACACAATTGAAACTTTTGCCGCATTTTTTAGTCACATCGATAAAATATTTCCTTTCTTTAGCTTGATATAGTTATAGCTGGTTTAAGGGTTGAGAAATATAAACCAGTTTTTGATGTAGCATATTTCGGAAAGCATTTAGCCACACACTGAAAAAAAAAGATAGTAATAAAAAATAGAGAAGTTTGTACGGTATTTGGAAATTATTGATGTATCCAGGAGAAAAACGTCCCTAGTTTGTTATGCATGTTGGTAATACGTTTATTTTGACAATGTTATTTTGGCCAAATTTGGCCTTTGTAGTCTGTTCTTAGCTGATCTGACCGAGATATTTTGCTACCCAATAGCAAGAACTACTACATTGTTTACATGTTTCTTTGAGAAGGAACAGATTAGATGATCCCATGACACTTGCCTGATAGATCTTGTCTTGGATCTTGTAATACACAGGTTGACAATGTTCGTTTAATGACAAAATATGGAAAGAGGAAGGCTGCTGTGGGCACTTTATATTTGACAGCTACACATCTGATATTCATTGACCCAGACTGTTCCAAAGAAACTTGGGTAAGTTACTATGAACCTTCTATCTGAAAGAGTAACAGAGGGCAAGGCAAGCTTGAGTTCTCACTCATGTATATTCTTCTTGAAGGAAAGTGACATGAGTCTCTGGCGAAGCCAGACAAAATAGAATTGTTAAATGAGCCAAAGCAAACCAAGCAAGCAAAACAAATACATGGCAAATTACAGGGTATCAACTTCACAGAAACCATGCAGATGTACATGTGGCCTTTGACATGGTATTTGGTACACCATAGTTGAACAGCTCTGCTCTACTGAAAAGACAAACTCCTTAGAACATAGCATGTAATGCCCTTCCACAGCAATAATGTGCAGCAAAATAGATTAAGACTAAATTATGACAAAAGAGATTGGCAAATGTACAAAGAATTGTCATCAGGTGACATTTCTGACGACCAGAAGCGCTGCATGAATTTACATCACAAGCCTACTTTCCACTTACATGTCCAGCTGTCTGTTCTTAGGAAGGAACTTGGACTGGACTTGAGAGAGCAAGGGAAGTCAAGCCTAGAGTTTGCCCAATGGGCAAACATGAACAAATTTTACTTGCATAAGCATATGTATGTACAAACTAATATTTATCATGTGACTATTCACTAATTCCACATGTAAATAATTATACTATAGGACAACTGAGAGGACTAATTATAGTTAAACTCAGCAAGTTAGAATATTCCTCTGATAACGGCCCATGATAAGTCTACATGTCAAGGTTTTTAGCTTAGTAATTTGCTGCTGCTCATGGTTCTTCTTGATTGCCACAGATTCTTCACTCTCATATCGCTTCAGTAGAGAAACTTCCTCTGAATGCCGGAGGTTCACCTTTGAGGATTCGCTGCAAGACATTCCAGATTGTAAACTTTGTCATTTCAAGAGACAGAGATAGTCAGGAAATATACACTTCCCTATTACAACTATCTAAACCTGGTAAGCTTCATATTTGTAATCCTGCAAACATCTCATATTGCCTTACTATTTTACATTCATTTTGCACAACATTTAATCTTTCTTAACAAGAGCCAAGGTCGTTTTTCTCGAGAGTTAGTCATAATCACTGCTTAGATGAAAGAATAACATGATTTATTAAAAACTGGATCATTGGACAATGCAATTCTAGAGTTTTCATTGGCGTAGCCATCATGGTTTATGAGCTGTTATGAAATGTTCTACAAATAATCTTTGTGGTATGCGTGCATGTAATTTTTTAACACCTTTTTGTTTTTATTTTTAAATAATTTTATTTTTCTATATTTTGAGGGTGTTTTTAATGAAACAATAATTATTCCACTCACGCCTTTTGGATATGTGATATTCTAAACAAAATTTAAGTTTGGTGGCCAGGATTGCTAAAGCTGGGTTTGTAGAGACACCACATGCTTTATGTCCCAGCTGTGTTAGGATGTACAGTTTGTTGTTCTACCTTTTCTTTAGGGTAAGTAATTGGGTCAGTGTTGTAGTACTGAGTGGTTACCTCTGTCAGGATTGCCATGGATACCATCATATGCATGCTTACGTGTGGCTCCACCAAGCTTTTAGTGTGAATATACTGTCAGTGAAATTAATACAGTGTAGCTGAGAGAATGGGAACTGGACAAAATGCTGGGTTTACCCTTGAATGAGTTAGTCAAGTACTCCTAGTCATTTCACGCTAGTGAAATGTTGCTCAGATTAATAATAATCATCATCATAACTACTACTAATAATACTAGTAATAATAATAATAATAATAATAATAATAATAATAATAATAATAATAATAACTTTATTTACATGTCAATGAGATTTAGCATTGTGCCAACTGGGGACACCTAAAAAGAGTTACAATTATCAGGACTATGTACAAAATAAAATTTTTAATTTGTCCAGTTCTCTCAGCTGCACTGTATTATCCATGTAATAGGCTAGTAGCAAGGTAATCATCATCATTTGTGTTGACGTTCTCTTTTCAGAAAAACTTGAAGACTTGTATGCATTTTCCTACAATCCTCAAAGTGAAAAGCTGACACGGTCTGCTGGCTGGGCCTTATTTGATATCCAGTCAGAATATGCACGCATGGGATTGCCAAACAATGAGTGGTGCTGCAGCACCTTGAATAAAGACTACCAGGTTAGCAGTGCATTCATTTGAAATCTCAATCTTTGTCAGGCTTTCATTTCAGCAACTTCAAAGATCTCAGTCTCTTTCAAAGTGTATTGATTGGCAGAATAGAATTCTTAGCTTTCTAGGAGAGTAACAGTGCTCTTAGTCATTATTTATGTATTATAAAAATGGAGTTAGTAATAATATAGTAATGGAGCTAATGCCAGTGTGTTATAATAAAGCCATGAAGTGTTAAGGTAAGACTTTGTTTACAGTTACCTGGGGTTTGTCTCTATCCTTTCAGTAGTAACAGCTGTTGTATGATCTGCCTTGTGTTGCTGGCTAATTTAATTCACAATAATAATTTCTGTTAGTAATTTACTTTTGTTCTTATTCTGTTGACATTATAGATATGTGATACATATCCTAGTATTTTGTATCTGCCATCTTCTGCTTCCACTTCTCAACTCATCAGTAGCTCAAGGTTCCGTAGTCGAGGCAGACTACCAGCCTTGTCTTTCTACTACAAGAACACAAAGGTATTTCTATTTAACTTTTGGTGACATTGTCATAAATGTATACAGTGGAACCTCTCTACAATGGGGACAGATGAAGGTGGCCATTTTAGAGAGGTGACTGTTATGGGGAGGTAAGGGTGTAATTTGACTCCTGTTTTTGTGGGGGAGGGGGGTTGCAATATTTGTAGTTGTAAGTAATGGTTATTGTAACACATAGATATGTAACACAATCAAATTATACCAATAAAACACAAACCAAACTGGAAAGGAGACCAATGTAGCGATGCATGGTACGGATCAAGTTTCATGACCTTTTACAAAAAAATAAAAAGGGTTTTGTAAACACCATTGCCACTGGCCATTGTAGAGAGGTTGTGATCAAAGTGACTGTATCCATGGACCGTCCGCTGGGACAGAAAAAAGTGACCATTGTAGAGAGGTGGCCATTTAAGAGGGGTGGCTGCTAGTGGAGGTTCCACTGTAAGTATTACTTTTACATGAAAACAAAGCTTCAGGTGAGTAATAATGTTTAATTTAGTTAAGGTTAATTTCCATATACGTGGGAGATCTTGAACAATGCCTAGTACATTGTCTTTACCTATTTATGTGCAGCATCAGGCCTATACGGCTTCTATTTGCATGGTTTCCCATCATTTAATTCATAAAACAAACAATTGCGTTTTCAGGCATCAATTTGCCGCTGTAGTCAGCCTCTATCAGGGTTCAACTCCAGGTGTCAAGAGGATGAAAGTCTCATTCAAGCCATCCTAGATGCCACACCTGATTCTAAATATGTGTACATTGTGGATACAAGACCGAAGGTATCATTATTAATAATCTACAGGTAGCTTTGTAGAACTTCAGTAGACCTTCCCTTCAAAGGAAGCAGTGTAGTTTCCTAAACTTGCTACTTAACAGCAGTTAAATTATACATACCTTTATCAACTTCAAGTTGATAATCAACTATAGTGAATATTTTAGGTTGAACAGAAAAGGTATGTCAGGAAAGTGCTTATTTAATAATTTACTGCAAAGGCAGGGAAATTCAGTGGAGATTGAGGTCAGATCTCTTTAGAAAACCTCAGTGACACAAGTTTATTGTAATTAATAAAAGTAGTTTATGCAAAGGATGGTTACATGGATGGAGGCTGTGTAGCTGTTACAGTATTTGACTGACCTTCATTTACTTAGGAAGGAAAATTCAAGTTGAGTTCTGAAAATTTGGTTATACAGGGCTCGAAAAATATTTGAATTCCACCTTGCCCATTGGGTAATTAACTCTCAAGTTTTGCTTGCCCGAGGCACTTCCCTGCTTGCCCAAGTTTTCAAACTCATTAATATAATCCATGAACCCCAAAATGGAAGTCAAACTACAGGCGTGTTTTAATGTACTAAACCCATCTTGACTGTAGTCCTCATAGTGCTGATCTATTTCGTGTTAACGCCATTATATTGCAATGCTTCCACAACTTTTAACTTCTTCATTCCGCTTTTAGGAAGTTGTACAGTTTGTAATAATTAACATGGATGAACTCCCAAGTTGTTGTTGTTCGTTCGTGAACTTACTTCCCAGTTCCTGTATTACATGCTGGGTATCTTCGTTATTATACAGCCTTGAATCAATTTGTTTAATTCGCCAAAGATCGCGTTCGACTCTTTGAATGTTGACCTGCATCTTGTCTAGCTCCACGAAATCATTGTGAAGAGAAGCACGAGAAATTTATAACACTCAGAATTAACAGCAAGTCGCGTTCCCACCTCAGTTTTGACACAGGCACAGTGTCGTATTTGAAAAGCCGGCGAGAGCATATTTTTTCATTTGGGTGAATGAAAAATAGTTTCAGTCGAGGGAAAACATCTTCATTTGAAAGAAACACCACCAGGTATTTTAAGTCATCTTCCAGGAACTCTGAAAGTATTTTGATGACTTAGTTATCCATTTCTTTTTAATAACATAATACTTTTCCTTTTGCGCAGCGGCGCCTAAGTAAGTTATCACTAGCAAACTTGCATGTTTCGCCGAAAACAGAGATTTACCTGGATTTTAGCACCAAAAATGCTGGCTACGCTTTTGCAATAGAAATATGCGACTTCTTTTCGCATACAATTTCTACAGCTTTAATATATGGTTGTTGAGTTAAGTTTTGTACAGAGAAACTGGAAAATGCTCACAGAAAATTGCTAAAATTTAAAGAAATAAACACGGCGTTTTTGTGCCCAATGCGGCTATTTTCAATCCTGAAAGGAAATTTGATTGGGGCAGATTTTGATCACATGCTAGGCAGCCACATGTGAGCTGTGAGCGCGCGTCACGCAATCAAGAAAACAACGGTACAAATTGTAATTTTCGTCAAGCTTCATCTAAACACTTGATTACCCTTGAGCCTAAAATTTACCTTTTTTTCTCAAAATTGTTATCAAAAATTTACTCAGCAAATGGCTTTCCTGGGTCCTTGTCCGTGGGGCAAGTAAGGAGAGAAAGTTACTTGCCCGAGGGGAAAATCTACATGTCCTGGACGACCGGACGGGGGTTTTTTCGAACCCTTTTATATATCATCCAGAAAATAAGGCTGTTATATCTACTAACAGTAACTCCAAAAATGTTATGAGTGCTCTTGTCATTCAATTCATGTGCTATATATGAAGTACATTTTGATTTTGCTTTTACAATATTGTAGATCAATGCTATGGCAAACAAGGCAGCTGGGAAAGGATATGAAAGCACAGATTTTTATGAAAATGTCAAGTAACTGTCACAAAAGCCAAATCTTTTTTTGTGGGGGGCTTGGAAATTTCCCCCAAAAAATCTTCGCACAGAAAAATTGCCCAGACTTTTTGCCACAAAAATTCAATGGCCTGGGGTCCATGNGGGGGGGGCAGAGAGACCTAATGGTTGGCACATTGTACTAAAGATCAGTTGATCTGCAATGACAAAAGAAGGACTTCATTTAGATATGTCAATTTTTTTTAAATATAATGTCCAGTAAAAAGAGCTTTTAGAGTTTCAATTCCAAATCTTTTGAGCTGTTAGTAGTGAGGCATGCAAAAGAATACTGTTATGTACCAAAACCTGACTTGTGGAAAATCTGGGTAGTTAAAAATTGTTTTTAATTGCCTATAAAATCTGATGTGTCTCTAGCCAGTAGGCCAGTGTGGTAAAAAGGTGGTCTCAAGTACTGTGTGGTGTGCTGTGTATACTCAAGAGGCCCCCACTTTCCATGGTATTGGGAAGACATTTTACACTCCTTTGATTATTTTCAGTGGTCTGTGAGACCCCAGATGTAACAGCTAAAGCCTTAGCAAGTGGCTTAGACAACAGTGGATGGATGAAGCACATTAAAGCTGTGTTAGATACTTCAGTCTTTATCGCTAAGGTATTGTATTATGTGCTACACAAACATGTACAATTTGACTCTGCTGCTTTAGGGCAGTGCTCAAAATATAATTGCCAGGGTGGCTATGAATGGAAAGGATGGAAAATGATGACAATGACTGTGATCAAACTTGAAAAAGTGATTCACATGATCAGTACTTTCAAATTTTGCAAATCAAACTACATTTGTGTCTTTCACTGCCACACATACTTTTTTTGTGGAAAATCTAGTCACTGATCGTTTAGGCAAGGACATGGTTCTTCCAAAGCTGAATATTTATGTGTGCATGTGTCCTATTTAGGCTGTTGTGGAAGAGAAGGTGAGTGTAGTTGTTCACTGTAGTGATGGATGGGACAGAACAGCACAGACCTGCTCCTTAGCAAGTATCATGTTAGATCCTTACTACAGGACGATTCATGGACTTCAGGTATGTTCAGATTATCATAAATTTTGAATAAATCTTGAATCTGATTGGTTTTAACTGCTAAAACTAATGAGTTTTAATTTTCTTGGAAATTCCCCCAAATGGTGGCATGCATATCAGTCCATGTTGTGCCATTTCACAGATCTTAAGAAGCTGTGATGTTTACTTTTATTCGAAGGTTTTGATTGAGAAAGAGTGGCTTGCATTTGGACACAAGTTCACTGACAGGTAAAATGTTCTGCTCCATGAAATATCCATACAGCACCTCTCTCATTGAACTGCATGATGCTTGCCATTGTCAATTTAAAGTTAAACATCTTATGAGCTGGTTAATTAACATGACTGTATATCACTGATCAGGTGTTAAATGTGAAAGACAAAGCCTTGAATTACTAGTAAAGGATTTTTGCATCAAAGGTTGTATTGCTTTCAAGAGAACACTTGCAATGTATGCAGCATTGATTCAATACAAACTTCCCAGACATACTTGTGTGTGCATAAAATTTGTCTTTTAATGACAGCATGTATTTCTTCTCAGATGTGGGTTTCTCCAATCAGATGTGAAGGAGACATCACCAGTATTTCTCCAGTTCTTGGAAGGAGTGTGGCAATTACAGGAACAGTTTCCATTTGCCTTCCAGTTTAATGAAAGATTTCTTCTCACAATTCATGATCACTTGTATTCCTGCCAGGTATGTGGAATTTGTTTGCTGTTTTTAGGTCTTATAGACATTTATGAAGACCGAGGAGTGAGGTTAACTTGACCTGGAAGAAAAAATAAGTTCACGAAGAAAATAACTTATGATATTGTCTCATTTTGTATATTAACTTCTCTTAATTCTGGTTTGTATTCCAGTTTGGGACTTTCCTTGGAAACTGTGAACGAGAACGAAAGGAACACAGGTAGGCAACGTAACCAGTAAATCAGAGGGCTTTTTTGGTAAATACTGCATGACGTGTTTACTGTCCTAACTGTGTTAGAACTGTACTGTTTACAGTTACAGCCATGCTGGAACATTTGCTGGGGACAAATTACACATCTTCACTCCTTATTGTCAAATTTTCTTGCTCTATTCTGGGGCTTGATTATTGCATACACAATATTGTGAAAATTGTTGTAAACATTTTCTTCTTTTACATGCTAGTAATTTTAGATGTAAAGGTGTTTAATAAAATTTGACTAACAGTTACTTATGTTTCTGTGTAGTTTGGCAGAGAAGACATACTCACTGTGGGGTTACATGTGGCAGAATATCAGTGACTATGCAAATCCGCTGTACAGAGGAGGCATGGACGAGTTACTATGGCCTAACACTTGTCCTCAAACTCTCAAGTAAGAGTTGTATTAGGCTTGATTGCTAGAATATAAACTCTTGCTCCTCTGTCCCCTCCTACCCCACCCTGCCAGCCTCCCTCCCTAGGAGGAGAAGGGGCCAGATTTGCAAGAGACGAGGTCAGAAATGGATGGATGGATGGACTTCACACATTGTAACAGAGATATCTTGAATCATAATACAACAAACCTGATGAAATCTGGTTTGCAGAAGCAGCATGGTTGAGTTGTTAGAGCAGTGGAAATCTAGAGATCCAGGCTGGGTTAAATCCCATTCTGACCTTTAGCTGGTGTTGTTTTCAGTAGTCCCGAGGTCGACTCCTCGGCCAGACTGGTAAATGGCCAACTTGTCTGCTTCTCAATTACCACTTGGGATTTTTAACTATGTCATGTTTATGTGTAATATTTTTTACAGCTCATTTGTGCTAATGGCATGGAAACCAGCTAGCTCATGGTAGCTTGAAACTGAACACTTGGCCACTATAAACATATTTTATTTTTATTATCATTTTTATGTATGTGACTAAGCGAGAGTGAATGTACATAAGTAGCGTCAAACCTAATACCTTTGAATTGTGTTACGATCTGTTTAAGGTTTTGGCGTTCAATGTACAATCGATATGATAATGATGTTCACCCCAGAGAGACTGTATTGGATGCGCTTAGTAGTATCATAGATCACAATGATTCACTGCAAGATCACATTAAATTTCTTTCTTCCGTAAGTATGGTCAAAATTAGTTTAAATCTTTTAAGGTTTATGGATTTTGAATTTGTTGTGAATTGTACTGTATGGGTCTTATAAGGCTGCATTCAATGCCTCTATATTTTTCGTCAGATTGTTTTAGGTCAAAGGGATTTCCTGTTGTTGATGGTTATCTGTATTCTCATCACCTGTTTGCTTGACACTGTACTGTTAACTCCATCAGGAAGAAATTACCTCTTAAACAAAGTTTTTTTTTTCTAAATTTCACCCTTAATTCAGCTTCTATGGTTCATTTTATACACACATGATTCAAAGTCAACTATGAAAAGCAGGATTCTTAAAGGGGCTACGTCACTGTTTGCGCATCTTAAAAAAGTTTAGCCTAAATTTGTCAAGTTCGTCGTTTGAAATCCGTGTTAATCTTCTCCATCCTTAACCATCCTTTACGGTTTATTATTATCTCTTTGGTGTTTTTCCCTCTTAGAATTTTACCTTTTTCAGTTTTCCATTAATTTAAAGGCAATTTTGTACGCGGTACTCAAAATAGTGACTGAGCTCCTTTAAATATTTTGTTCTGTAAATAAATTCTGTGGATGCTTCATTCAACAGCGCATTGCGATGATGAAAACTCTTTTCAGTTCGTCAAAAGACTCTGAAAACAACACTGTTGATGACAAGAATTCAATGGAAATGAACTATCTGAATTCACACTGTCAATCGCCTGGTAGTTCGTCAAGTGATTTGACCTCTCTTGAGAACTCAGTCGATGATCTGGAACTCAGCACAGAGCGGAAAAACTCATTACTTAACAGTCACGACAGCGTGTCATCTTCATTACCCAGCGTCAGTAGCGGCACGAGTGAGGACAGTGCTCTGGGAGGATCTCTACCGGATGACTTACAGAAAACTTTAAAACGTCAAGGTTTGACTGTCGAGGATTTGCTTCAATCCGCTCCTCCGTTTGCTGTGGAATGGAAGTCAGTTCGAGATGTTTTCCAGTGTCTGACTTGTGCAGCGCCGATTGATTTTCTAAGTCGTAAGGTATGATTGCATTCTTGTATTTAAACTAAAAATGTGATATCAATAGTTTTTAACAGTATTTTGAACGCACGTGTCGCTTTATTGTATACGAAAACTTGTTAAAGTTAGCTCTTAGCCAATAGTAGTTTCCAGTGTGAATTTCCCGCCAAAACTATCGGTTGAGTTAAAAATTGCTTTACACGTGGTTTGCTTTACAGGAAGTAGTTTCGCTCTGATTGGTTAGCGCATTTATTGCACAAGTTCCCGCAACCAATCAAAGCGCTTGCTATGGTTTTGCACGTGATTAAATGTGAAGTCACTGATTGGTTAGGACGTGGAGCGCGGGTTTTCTCAACCAATCACAATGTTGGCCAAATTAAACCCAAAACATCCTACAATTAATGTTGTCACTCACTGACGCGTCTATTTATTTCGACAGTATCACTGCTGAAACTGTGGAGAGGTGTTCTGTAAGCGATGTATTGATAAACAATGTACCCTTCCTGGACATTACTCGGACAATCGCGTGCCTGTCTGCAAGCCATGCTACAAAGTGCTTAAGAAATTTAAATGAGATGCGGCGTTTCCAGTGAGCCATACGGTCAAAGAACTACAAGTAATTTGAGTTACTTTGCAAGGGTGTCGTGGAATTTTTTTACGTCAATGAATGTCAATGAATAATACAGTTGTACACTAGAATTTTACAAATGGCTATAAAACCTAGAAAAATGTTTATAAAGTGGTACAAACGATAATAAAGAGACAATTATTAGAAGAATATAACACTGGAATTCGATGGCATTTTTGCCGAGGATCAACAAACACATCAAGCATAAAAATAGCGATAAGTGTCCAAATTGTTTAAAATTATTTTAACAAGTTACAAATCAAGTTTACTTATGTCTTGGGAAATTATATTTCGAAATCCTTAGACCAAAGAGAATTGTGGAAAAATGATAAACATACCATGATGTTTGACAAGATACATTTTCTAAAGGGAATTTATAGATATTTTAATGGTCGAACACGGGTGTTTTTTTTCCTTTCACTATTTGCAATGAAACAACAGATCAAGGTATTTGCGAAAACAGCTTCGAAATGTTAATAATTGACGGGATTACGCTAATCAGGCAATCGGGCGAGTTTCTCTTCGTTCTTATTTACTCCAAGAAAGGTCATCCCTTCTCAGTTGTTTCTGTTTGTGTTTCAATACATTCAGAGAATATCAGAGTGTTGCAAGATATTACTTCCTAGGACCCGGTTGTTCAAAACGACAGGATAACCGAAACGTAAATCCAAGATTGAAAGTCGAACAAGGTTTTCATTCTCATAAATGAAGTGTTTTTCACTACAAATGCTTTGTAGAGTTAGTCAGGTCAAAACTGGGCATCAAAAACTGCAAGTATAAAATATCACTGAAAAGTCGAAATTTGCGCTAAATCTGTATAAAGTAGCTTAGTCACGCTTTGAACAACCGGGCCTAGGCCATAACTGACTTGCCCCATGATCTCGGAGTTCCTGTTATCTCCACTTAGATGACTCTGAAATATTTCTTGGCTGTGAACGCGTTTCTTTATTTTTAAGACAGCTTGTCAAAAAAGGAAGGCTCATCATTTCAAATCAGTCACAACTCTTGTACAAATTAGAAATAAACTTCTCAATCTCTACCTTCCTTGTTCCAGTTTTGCTTGTCACTAGCTCTTTGAAGTTTCTGGGCCTTTGTAACTATGAGCCTTTTATGACTTTCCTCGATCTGAGATTGCAAAATAACTCCTGTAAGGTCGGCACACACGAGGGGACATGTTACAGCGACAGTTTACCTCGTATGACATGCAAAAAAGTTCTGTTCCTTAAAATTCAGCTGGAGTTTCATGCGTCGTGAAGCAGGGACAAAAGCGCCTCAATTTTCAATGTCGCATTGTGTGCATTGCCTTTGCAAACTGTCCCCGCTACAACGAAGAAATAGCCGGGACGCATGTTGCGGATATTGAATATCCGCTTCGTGTGCACTAGCTTGAGTATTGTCCCTGCAACATGCGTCCCGGCTATGCGTAAGCACGAAGGGGCTTTCTTATTCCCGCGACATGTCCGGAAGTGTACTGCCTTCAAGGAGGCATTTCCCTCCTTTTAGTCACGAGTAGAGGGAAACACTACAGCAAAAATAGTGCTACCATTTCGATAAGCGCGGTTGGCAATAGAGTCCCACAGGAGCTGTGACCTTCCGTATGCTAGAGGCTTTCCAGCACTTTTCCAGCAGTTTTACATCAGCTGTTTGTCCTCACCCAACCAATGCACGAAATTACAGAAGATAAAAGTATAGTAGTGTAAACCCTTATGACTCTTCCACGCAACAGAAATAATGTTTAGTCAAACTAATTCCGTTTGAACCTGTTTATTAGAAGGTGTTAACTAACCCTGAGTACGAAGTTATCTTTAGAAGTACTTTATTTTGCACGCTTTAAGTTAATACATCACTTCTATTACCTTAATCAGTACGTCGTTTACATTCACATTACGTAATTTTCTTGGCTAGATTTCTGCTGTACGGTGAGGACTGCATGAAACATTTCGTGACATTTGTTTGCAAAAATGCAAGTGCGAGCAGAGTCGATCAGCTGTCGATGCACTCCTAACCAATACGGTATTATAAAGCAGAAAAAAACAACAGTAGACAATCAGACGATTAGAAAACAAAATCAACATACAATCACTGCTCATGCAACCACAACAGCAAAATCCTCAATATTTTCAACATGATAGATGGTACTGTCTAACAAAACACTAACAAATACGGTGAACATTTACAGTGCTAAGCTGGGACAATACACTTGTCGTATAAGGCATGCCTGCTACTCATTTAGCAACAAACAAACAAACAAACAAGAATCTAGCTTATATCCATTGCATCTTTGCCTTGTTTAGTAAGAGCTTCGCGGAATCTTGCATCATTACGGTCCAGGTTCACCAGACGTCTTATTCCTAACCAAAAATTAAAGTTTTATTAGAAGACTGAAAGGAATTTAAAGAAAACGACAAAACTTTTAAAGTGCCTATGAAGTAAAAAATAATTCCTGCTTATTTGAAAGGCTTTTCAAATTAAAGAAGAATGGCGTTTTCCTTTTTGGAATATCTCTTTTCGTTTTAGAGATATTTACGTTTTTGTATTATGTAAATGAGGAAAGTGATGACGTCATAGGTGGTTCCTCTAAAACGGCACAACACTCAATCGAGAATAACTCTAGAAATATTAAAGCAGTGTTCTTCAAACTTGGAACCAGAAATGTACATCACAAAGAAAGAGAATGACACCTACTATGCTGTTGCCATGGCAACACTCTTGGCGCCAGTCTCTTTCTGTGAAAAACAAAATATACCCATTTGCAACCTTTTAAAGTGGGACAGAGGGTCTTGCTCGGAACACATGTGGTTCCCATATTGTCTTAACTCTCCCCATTAGATTCGTGGGAGTGGATGATCCTTGTTTAAGATAAAATCTGGGAATTTTAGTCTTAATTAAGACA